TGGCTGCAGAGAAGAGCCGAGCCAGAGAGCCCGTGAGAAGCGGGTAAGCCAGGCTACGGGCCCCACCCGCACTGCCAACTCTGGGGTTCCCAGGGGAGAGCCCGAACCAAATGATCCATAAGACCGCAGTCCAGCCGCTCCAGCAAAGGGCGCAGAAGACTGGAACCACACAGCATTCCACGGACATCTCATCGCCTATCACCTGCTAGTCACCTGCAGCCTGGGCCACTCGTCTGAGCGCTCAAGTGGGCATGTAGATCCTGGGGAAGTCTCCTCCTCTGTGACCTTTGAGAGAAGGGTCAAGTTGCAGGTCATGGCCATATCCCAGGATCAGAGAAGATTGTTATTCGGAACAAACGCCCGGCGCAGCAATCACTCGCCGTCCACCCCGAGACAACTCCCGGCGAAACCAAGGAGGGCTGCAGCCTTGCACATCAGACCCCCAAGGGTCCACACCTGCGTCTTCCGCCGGCATAAGCTACTCGTCTCCACTTCAGCCTCCGGCGAGGCAATACCCAGGTACCTCCACCTCATCCCCGAGCTTTTACATTCTTAAATATTAATTGAAACACACATGTTACAGAGAAAAGTAAAGACGGTCAGAAAATAGTGGTAGATAGACCACAACTTCAAGTATTAGCTTCACACTCTAGCGTTTTTAATTTACATGGATATTAATGTACATAGTTTTGAGGTAACATGTAAAAATAAACATCGCATATACATTTGCAAGGATCAAAAATCAGTGTACCTTGGGTATCCATCTTAAATACTTTTTTTTTCTTCAATGCTAATACATTCAATCTATCTTTTCAGCTATTTTGAATGTGCAATAGATTCTGCAAATCGTAACACCCTATGATCTACTAACCACTCATTTGCTTTCTTCTATCACAGCACGATATACTTTCGTCAGTCCATTAACCAACTTCTCTTCTGTCTCCCCTCCTCCCACTTCTTGGCCTCTGTAAACACAATTCTACCCTGACTCTTCCTGAGATCCCTACGTTTTTTAGCTTCCCACATATGAAGTGAGAACATGCGATATTTTCCTTCTGATGCTTGCTTATTTCACTTAACATGACATCACCCCTCCATTCCATCCATGTTGCTCGCTGCAAATGACAGGATTTCATTCTTTTTTGTGGCTAATATATTTGTGTAATAAATTTCCATTTAAGTAAAAATAATCCAATTAGTATTTGAATATATGATCACATTGTTGGCTACTGTGACATAGTGCTGTAATCAAATGGAGTCAGATCTCTTTTTGATATTTGTTTCTTTTTTTGCATTATACAGTACATCGCGAATTGCTGGATCATATGGTAGTTTATTTTTAGTTTTTATTCAACCACACACTTTTTTTCACATAGTGCTGTACCAATTTACATTCCAACAGTGTATCGAGTTCCTTTCTCACATCTTCCCAGCATTGTTATTCTGTCTTGTTTTTTTTTGATACAAGCTATTTTAACTGGGGTGAGATGATATCTCACTGTTGTTTTTTTTATTTTTTTTTTTTCTTTTGAGCAGAGTCTCGTTTGTTGTCAGGCTAAGATGAGTGCCGGGCGTCAGCCTACTCACAGCAACCTCAAACATCCTGGGCTCCAGTGATCCTTCTGCCTCAGCCTCCGAGGTAACTGGTGACTCAGCAATGCCCACTCATGCCTAATTTTTTTTTATATAATATATCAGTGGCCATTATTCTTTCTATCTTATAGTAGAGACGGGTCTCCTCTTGCTCAGGCTGGTCTTCGAACTCCTGACCTTACAATCGCAACCCGCCTCGGCTCCCAAGAGCATAGGATTACAGGCGTCGAGCCACAGCGCCGCCTCACTGTTTTTTGATTTGCAATTTCTCTGAGATAGTGATGTTGAACATTTTTTCATACACGGTGTTGGCCATTTGTGTGTCTTTTTGAGCAATGCGAATCAGATCTTTTGCCTATTTTAATCAGATTGATTATTTATGTCTAGTGAGTTGTTTGAACTCCTTATATATTCTGGTTCATTAATCCCTATAGATGGGGAGTTTGCAAATATTTTCTTCCATTCTGGTGGGTTTCCTTCATCTTCATTTTTTTTTTTTTTTTTTTTTGAGACAGAGTCTCACTTTGTTGCCAGGCTAGAGTGAGTGCCGTGGCGTCAGCCTAGGCTCACAGCAACCTCAAAACTCCCTGGCTCAAGTGATCCTCACTGGCTCAGGCTCCGAGTAGCTGGGACTACAGGCACGTCCACCATGCCCGCTAATATATATATATATAATGTATATTATCAGGCGCGTATAACGATGGTACAAATACTAAAAATTACTGCACTTATTCTTTCTATTTTTATAGTAGAGACCGGGGTCGTCGCTCAGGCTGGTTTTGAACTCCTGACCTTGAGCAACTCCGCCCGCCGTCGGCCTCCCAGAGTGGCTAGGATTACAAGCGTGAGCCACCGCGCGGCTCATTTTTGTTGATTGTTCCTTTGCTGCAAAAGCTGTTTAGCTTCATGGGATCCCATTTGCCTATTTTTGCTTTGGTTGCCTGTGCTTTTAGGCTCTTACTTAAAAAATCTGCCCAGACCCAATGTCCCTAGAGTGTTTCCCCCAGTGTTTTTTCTAGTAGTTTCAGAGTGGTCGTTCTTGGACACAGGGTTTTTTTAATGCAGTTGCCAACTGGTGACTCAGGGATCCAGACTCTGCTATCTCATCTCCAAGTGTGTGACCTCCTTGCTCACAATGGAGGAGAAGAAAGACACAGTGGTCACTCAGGGGATAATGACCAGGCCTGTAAGTGGCATGCTTCACTTCCATTTATATTCTATTGGCAGAACCCAGTCCAATTTGTCCTAATTTAACTGCAAAAAAAAAAAGGGGCTGATCTTCTTGTGTGCAAGAGAAAAAAAAAGTCTTATTTTACTCTTAGCCCAGGCCCAGATGCAAAGCATCTCACCACTCCCGCTGCTGACTTTGAATCTCACGGTACATTTAGAGAGAGCCATCGTGCAAGTTAAAATGTAAAATGTCAATGATTAAGACCTGAACCAGGGAGGTCAGTCTAAACAACCCGTCCCAGATACCAAGCCGTGTGTCCCACCTCTCAGGAATGAAGACAGACGCGTGCGTAGCAGCGGGGGACAGCTTGCTCCAGATCATCACACAGCCTTCTTCTAGAGCGTTAGGGCGGCAAGGGTTTTCAAAACCACTTCATTCT